GGCCTGGGGGGGGCACATGGGTGCCCCCTATGTGCTCAGGGTGCCCCATGCACCCCAGGTTGTCCTATGGGCCCTGGGGTGCCCCAGAGGTGCTTGGGGTGCCCCATCTGCACCAGGGTGTCCCGTGTACCCATGCCCCATGCACCCCCCAGGGGTGCCCCAGATGCTCTCAGGGTGCCCCATGCACTCCAGGTTGCCCCATGACCCCCAGGGTGCCCCAAAGGCCCTCAGGGTGCCCCATGCTCCATATGCGCTCAGGGTGCACCACGCACCCCAGGTTGCCCCATAGGTCCCCATGCACCCTAGGGTGCCCCAAGCAACCCCCAGGGTGCACCATGCACTCTCAAGGTGCACCATGCACCCCATGTTGCCCCATGCACCCCTGAGGGTGCCCCATGGACCCCCATGTGCTTGGCGCATCCCCTTGCCCCGGGGTGCCTCATGCACCCTGCAGGGTGCCTGAGGTGCCCCAGGGTCCCCCACAGGTCCTGGGGTGCCCCATAGAGCCTTGCCTCTCTCCTATCCCCCACCCGAGGCTCTCCCAGGGTTTCGCCTCCCCAAATCCCAAGGCTGAAGCCATTCCCATAGTGCTCCGGCCCAGCTTGCCTTTCTGTAGGGTGGCTGCCAGGCCAGCTCGCTCTCCCAGGGGGCATTTGCTAGAAAAGCTTTATTTCCTGCCGTTTCTTGGCCGCAAGACCCTTCGGGTGATGGCACACAGCCCTCTGCCCCGGTTGTCATCCCTGCAGGGATGAGGGAGCAAAACCTCCTGTCCCGGGGAGCCACCAGGTCCCAGCTTGTGTGCAGGTCCCCACGGGACTCTGGGCCACCCGCAGGAAGGGAAGGATTCGAGGGGGGCAGCCGTGTTTCAGGATGCCAGGAGATGCCACCCCCACTTTCTCGCACACGTTGAGTCCCTGGTGGCATTCGCTGCTCTCAGGACGCCGTCTCTGAGCCAGACTGCCGGGAAGGCGTCTCCGGTGATGCAGAAAGACCTGCCCGCTGCTGGGCCAAATCCTGCAGAGGAGAAAGCCCAAAAGGCAGCTGGGGGGGGTGAGGCAGCCCCTCACCCTGGCATCCTGGCTGCTGCCAGGGGAGCGGCTCTCACCTGCTTCCGGCAGATGTCCAGCATGACACTGGCTGGGAGGAGACACCATATCTCGCCTGCCAGCGACACCAGGACACCGAGGATGTCCATCCAGCGGCCCACGGTGAGCAGGAGGATGAGGAGGCCGCCCATCCTCACGAAGACCGTCTGGTAGATGGGCTGGCCCTGCTTCTGCTCCTCTGCCAGGGACCGCGGTGGTGGTGGCATCACCGGGGCGTGGTAGCACCCGATGGCACCCTACATCCTACCGAGGATGCCCCGAGACCCCCTACGAGGGACATCTCCAATGCAGAGTGGGGCCAACCCACCCTGTGGTCCTCCGAAACCATGTCCTGGCAGAAAGCAGCTGGCAGCACTCTGCAAGCCAAGACGCCCCAAAAAGCACTTTTTCCACCCCGAACTGCCTCACCTTGCATGTAGACCACCAGCAGCGCATAGCAGATGGTGAGCGGCGTCCAGAAGCGTGCTGCCTCTGCTGGGCCCAGGAAATCCCGGTTGAGCAGGGCCACGGCGGCCAGGTCGGCCACAGCAAAGGCCAGCACCAGTGCCCGGTGCAGCAGCCCCAGGATGCCATGGCCAGCGGCGAGCAGGGTGATGCAGACGCCGCAGTAGCGGGCCCGGCTGTGCAGCTCATAGAGGGTGCAGACGTGGTGCGCCAGGCGCCGGGTGACGGCTGCCAGCAGCCCTGCCAGCCCGGTGGCCAGCAGCAAGTTGCAGGGGGCGCG